AAAAAAAAAAAAAAAAAAAAGAGTACAAAATATATTAAAAAAATAACAACGACTAGTTAAAAATTATTTTTAACGGTTATTTAGTATTTACCGTTTATCACTATGTTTCATGTGCTTCCTATTAGTCGTTCTGATTGACTTAAATATTTTGGTATGAAGTAGAATAACAATATTGTTAATAATTACCTTTCAAAAATCATAATAATTCGTTATAATTCATACTTACATGTGAAGTGAAATACCAAAATAGTAATATACAAGTAATTTAAGAGCGTATTACTTACTTGATGCAAACATTTACACCGTTCAACCCTAGTTAAACGGGCTAGCCATGGCGGGTTTCGGGCTAGCCCTAATGGGCTTCAGGCTAATGGTTCGGGCCTAAAAAGGCCTGATTTAAACAGGCTACTAATAAAATGACTTAACCCTGGCTTTTTCCGGGCTAAAGGGGCCGGCTCGTCGGGCCAAGGACCATTTAACATCTCTAAGTGCGAGGATGAATCATTAGGGAAAGTTTTAAGTATGCTATGTGATTTTAAATTAATTGCAACTTTATCATAACCATACAAGTAAAAATAATTATGTCTCTACCTAAAAGACTTTATTTATCTATATTAATGCCTAAAATAAGTTATAATATCCTTCACACTTCTATCCCCCTTTTTATGCACTTGATTAAGAGAAAGAAATAAAAATAAATAATTGATTCATTTAATCCCTTAATTCGCGCATGTTTTTAATAAAGAGAAATAAAAACATGTTTTGTAATTCACGCAGCTGTCAGGTGGTATATATTGCGTTTATGTTAGTATATATTCAATATATGTTGCAATGAAAAACATGTTTTCTATCAAAAAATTATGTCTTCCTTTTTTTTTTTTACTTTTTTTCGTAAAGTATATATATAGTTTATAAATATATTATAACATGTTATTCCATAACAAAAAAATCTTCTAATATACAGAACATATGTTGAACATATACTCTATCTTCTGTTATGTATCGTTTTGTTTTGGTATATTAAAGGTTTTATGTCTTTTTATATTTTTGTGGATGAAGTCACCTATGATGATTTTCATTCATTATATGATGAATAGACTATGTATATAAACTATACATATACACAACAACAAAAATCAATTTATTTTTGTTTTACATCAGATTTTGGATATTTTGAAAACTTAAAAATGTCTATAAACTGAAAATATACGGTATTTACGCTCAGCATATACGTGCCGTCTGAGCAAAATGTAAATAATCCAGACGTAAAATGTCTATAACTTGAAAATATGTCTATATACTCAACATATACTCAATATGTACGAATACTAATACATAACTGCCTATCCATTGATGTTCGCCACCTATTCTAATAGATCATTTCAATTTTCCCATAACAAAATGAAAATTGAGCCAAGTCCATTTCCTTGATCAACTACTATGGACAATACGTTAGCCTAAATCTTCATCTCCCCTGGGGAAGCAGTCTTCTTTGTAATTACTAATTACTAAAAAGAATCTGTATATACGTTAAATAATTGGGCCCCTATAATTCTTGGAGAAATGAAAAATTCAAGGCAAAACATCATTTTGCTACCAATTTCTTTGGGAAAAATACACATATAACCCCTAGGTTAGAAATATTAACACAAATACAATTAGTAGAAAACATAATCAAAAGAAGATCCACTAGTGTTTTTCTTTTTCAAATTTACGAGATTATAATAAATCATCAGATATCTTTCTTCTCTCTCCATATATTGATAGTCATCGCATGAAGG